GCTTGCTCCTTCCCTCTCACCATCTCTTCCTCCCTACTATATGTCTGGGAAATCCAACTTTCAGATGATCTAAACAGGCCAGAGATTTCATAATGGAACTTAATCTACGTCGCTGGCGTGCATTACCATTTACTTACTGTTGTACAGGTGGCTCTAAGGCAGGGTCTGCTACAGTGGGCAGGATTCAGTGTCAACACAAACAAGGTCATCGACTGGATTAGCAACATGGAGACAAGACTCAATGCAACTTCGCAAGATGAGGTTGACCTTGAGAGATCATATGGCACTGCGATGAAGCAGAGGTATATTGATATCACATTATTATGAAATTTATTTTGGTTCGTGTTCTTACCATAAACATAAAAAATATGGCATGAATAAAACACACCAAAACAAATATTTTGGGCAGAAATATGTGAATTCCTCTGATAGCATGCTGACCACATTTCAACAAGTGAAAGAAAATAAAGTAGTTTCTTTCACGTTGGCTTGGAGATATTTACTGGCAAATAGCACCTTGCTGTAAGCTTCTAACCGTTGACATCTGGCAATTTACAGAGCCTGCACAGAGACGTTGTTGGCTACCAGCAGATTGTAGACTCCCTGCAAGCCCAGGCCGCTGAGTTGCTCTCAGAGCAGACAGCTGACTTCACTGCCGTCGTCGCGCGTACGCACAGTTGTGGCGCAGCCGCAGCGGAGCTAGTTCATGCAGCGCAGCAACGGCACTCTGAGCACCAGCAGTACCAGCAGGGTTGCAAGCAGCTGACCACCTGGCTGGATGAGGGCAAGGCCGCACTGACTGCAGCTGTTGACATCTGCGACACGACAGATCAGCTGCAGACGAAATTCGACACGGTTCAGGTTTGTACGAGTTTTCGGAACTGCACTGATTCCTCACGTTTACGCTGAACACGCAACAGAGTTAGCGCGTATTGATGTTATGTTCGTATGGACCCATTATGAATGTGAAGTTAAGTCAGTTCTCATATGTTCTATACGTACATCTCAGTGTGTTGTATTATTATGACTTCCACAGGAACTCACAGAGAAGATCGTAGATGGCAATGCCAAGCTAGATGTTGTCAAGTCTGAGAGTGAGACGCTGGCACCAGGACGATGGAGAAGGGACGTCGACAGTCTCGCTGCTGACATCACCGTTTCGAGCAGGGCCTGCAGCGATTATGCTTCCAGCTGGCTGTAGCCGAGTCAGACCTGCAGTCTCCGCCTGACTACGTGGAATGAGATACAGCTGAGGTGCGATGCTCTTACTGCATGGCTGCTGCACACAACAGTTACCATACAGGCCCCGCTTGAAATGCAGTCCCACCTCAGCAGCAAGGAAGCTTACCTGGAGAAGTTCAAGGTAAGGCCATTGTGCTATAAGTAAGTGCGACGTCTTATGACTTTGCTACAGATCTGTGTAAACATGGTATCATTACCACTAACAAGTAATGTGTTATTGAAGCGAGTTTCCAATTACCTACTAGTGAATATAGATTTTTATAGCCTTAAATTATACATTGGACACGTGCTATCCTGACTTTTCCATGAACAAAAATAAAAAATAATTTTAATATTAATTAATTAATAATAATAATTATGCATATCATAAATAAAGCGTGAAAATAATTTCATGCTGTATCTTACAGGTACTTCAGCAGGACGTGGCTGACCATGGCAAAGAGCTGACAACGGTAGAAGACATGTCTGCCAAGCTGCAGACCTCCGTGTCTGACCCTGCAGTGCCGACTACCGTAGCCCAGCTCAGGGCATCCTACGACACCCTCGTCTCCATGACAACCGACGTGGTGTGCCTCGTGGAGAGGCACTACAGGGAACAGTGTGTGTACGAGGAGAGCTACACTTACTGCGTGAGTTGGCTGCACAATGCGCAAGATGAACTGGACACCTGGGAGAAATCTGTTGAGCCAAAGCTGAGTGCCCTGAAGGTAGACCACAACGTATTATATATACAAAGCTACCACGATGATAGTGCTGATTGTTATGGCACGTTTAAGAAAAATTTCTAGCTGCTAGTAGCCAGATTAATTTGCCAAGTCCATTGGATGCTGCTCACATATAACTAGTACTTATTAATGTTCCTAAGGTATCTTCCTTTCTGCCACTGCAGATTGTATTACAGTACTGTTAGGCGTAAGTCAAGGTACAACAAATATATCACAACTAGATGGTGAGGAACTGTCAAAAACATGTGAGCTAATACAGCATAAAAATCGTATCTGTTAATTATTACTTTACATTACTTCACATCCAAACAATACCAAATTGATTCGAACAAAAACCAGCACTAGCATATGTGCTAGCAACCTATTAATTTTATATGCGGTAATAGATTCCCGGCCGGTGCCGATTGCTGTATATTCTGATTCTATTGTTGTGCTTGCACCACCACAGGAGCTTCAGAAGACGATGTCTGAGGGCCACAGTAGGGTGAAGCAGGCAGCCAAGATGTGCGACACTGTGACGCCACACACCAGCACGGATGGTGCGCAGACAATGCGCTCCAACCTCGAACACTTCGCGCTCAGCTGCGACAAACTTAGGAACGACGTCAAGAAAGCCATCGTGAGTCTTCGCATCTAGAATGTAGACGGCACCATGGGTCACCACAAAGGTCACCTCGTACTACTCACACAACAACACACAACACACAACACGGCCACAACGTACACAAGGGCACCAAGGCCACGCTGAGATCCTGCGCAACATGGCCGACCTGCAGGCTGCGTGGGATCTGCTGCACGGCTCGCTCGCCATTTGCTGCGTGCTGCTAGACGATTGTCTCGTCGCCTGGGAGCTGTAGGTATCACACTGGGAAATCCTTTCCCATAGGCGGCCATACTTACGAAAAAATTCCCATAAATCAGCAGAAGTTTTTTTCACAAATAATAATACCATCTTCTGAATCCAAGTCGCAAATAACACTATATATGTTATTAACAAAGAAATTCTTCCATAATTTTTCTTGTAAACAAACTTTTGCCAGCACACACTAGAAATGGCCAATTTACAATGTGAATCTGCACAAAAAGTAGGCTTTCTTTGAAAATTCCTGGGCCGCGCCAGCAACGCACCTCGGACGAGCCGTTTACACTGTCGGATTCAGAAAACGTACATTGTCTAGTTTCTGAAATTAACAATTGCAAACAGTTATAACCCTTTCTAATGAGAAATACAAAATGCTAGCGCACGCAGACACTCAAATACGAACTCATTCTGAACCTGTCCCCGCGCTCATTGGTGGATTTGCCATCTTCATACCTTAAAGCAGATGATTTTTTTTTGCTAAAAATCTTTCGCTTGCATATATGCTAACCTCAACATGTTGTGACATCACGGTAAAAAAAGTGATTCGTGCATGCCAGTTACCATTTATGAATGAATCCGTGGCACGACGTCCCCTCTCTGTTCGGTCGGCGGGCGGCAAAAACCTCGGAATTCGTCGACGTTCGAACTGCAATGTAAGAAAGCAGAAGGCTATATCAACTATCATTTTTCATCACAACGGTGTAGTAGACACCTGTCAATTAGAATTTAACAGTTTTAAGTTGGACCTTTTGACCTCTGATTTTTAAGAATAAATCTGCGAACACTATGTTTTGCTATGGTTTCAATAGTTAATTGCTTATACTAGAAAAAACGTGGTGACAGTCAATGTGCACGATAAGAAGGCCACGTGTGCACGCATTCCGTAGTAAAAGCAATTACAACCAGGCAAAAACTAAATGAGGTAAAAACCATAGATTTTATTGACCATCTCCTAAAAATCACAGCTGCGCAGCCCATACAAGGAAACGTTTAAAATCACCTGCTGACACCTACGTCAGCATGAACGTCATAGAATGACGTAAGAAACGCTGAGGTAAAAACCATAGATTTTATTGACTAACTCCTAAAAATCACAGCTGCGCAGCCCTTACAAGGAAACGTTTAAAATCACCTGCTGACACCTACGTCAGCATGAACGTCATAGAATGACGTAAGAAACGCTAGAAATTAGTATATAAGAAAGCTCTGCTCGCATTCAATCACACTTAGCCATTGGCAGCATGTCAGCCGTGCCGGAAATTGCTGACGACAGAGCTGGCAAACCGATATCAAATCGCTTGAAGAACAAGAAAAATGTATTCGTCAAAGGACACACCGTGCGTGCAAACGCTGTGCGTGCACACTGTGCTGACACAGCCTCTGATAAAGCCCCGGACCAGTGCTGTTAGAAACGAATGCCAAGAAGCACATTCGACGCCGTCATTGTGCGCTACGAATGCGACAACACAATAGAAGCAATCGACGTTGACAACCGGTCGACCGGCGTAAGGTTGCTGAGACCTTCTGCGGACTCTTCGCAAGAAGCTGGCATGAGCCGCCACCTGGTGCAAAGCGAGGGCGGGGCTGACCTGAGAGATAACCGGCTATACAACAGAGGGAAAATGGCGCAGATGTGGAACCAGTCGTTCCGCGAGCACGCCGGCCACAGTCCGGCATGCGACGGAGACCTCGCGTGGGACGAAGACGCACAGGAGCAGAGAGGAGCAGTCTGGTGTGAGGTGCTGAGGTGCAAAGCGTGCTCGTACAAGTCGCCAAAGCACAAACTTTACGACGAAGTGCCATCGTCTGGCAGGGGACGAAGAACCGCAGCGCCAAACGTCGGCATGCACGTCGGTCTCATGTCGACGGAACTCGGCTGTGCAGGCATGCGGCGCATTTTCGGATCGATGAACGTGCCTCCGCCTGGCGAGTCGAGCAAGGCAAGGAAATGGTCCGCTGGCCAACACACCGTCGCTGCCACCATGTAAAGTATCGGATGTCCAGACATAATTGGGTACACAACATTTATTCGTGCTTAGCATAAACATGGCCGAGCCCAGAGAGGCCTGCTTTCAGTAACAGTCTACATACGCGGGTATACGCGTAGTGATGAGGCTACAAGGTAGTTCTGCATAATCTTATAGTGACCTAGCATTTTTATGGCTTTATTGAACGGACCATGAAATGTACTTTCTGCTGACATGCGAAGAGTAAGTGTCGGATAACATTTTGACCCTCAAGAGGAGGGTTAAACATGGATTTGTTTACTGTTAGAAAGAATTTGACTGCCGGGTTTGCTAGTAGAATCTATACATGCCTGGATGTATGAGGCTACAATGTCACAGTGAAATTTCAAAAGCTAAATTTGGTTGAAGAAGGTTTATGCTCCTTAAATCGTATAATTTCTATGGCATTCTGTACTGTCAGGGTGTTACATGTAACTTGATGCCACTGCCAGTGCATGTGGTGGTGATAGTACTGTGTAGTTTTTACCTGCGTTAATTAGGTACAGGTGGCAGCTCTCTATTTCAGCCTGTAGGCTTGCGTAGGTAAATGGAGGAGTGCTTACCTATTCTGTCTTGCAAATAGTTGTTGCTACTACGTACGATGGGCGCTTTTATCTTTAATCTTAAGACACTTAAACGTACGCGCCATCTCGTGGCAACTTTCATAACGATCCCAACGAGCATTCCTTTGAGAAGGTTCCTAATACCATCCCTGTGCCTACCACTGTTTTGGCGCGTATGTGAACACATTTGGGACTAACAGGGTTTACTAGAATCCCACCACCCCACCACAGAGTCACCACAGTAGACGTTAGATGAGCGCTGTCGCTCTGCGGCACTTGTTATGTGAGAGTGTTCGCTTGAGTAAGTGAAGAACGGCCAGACTGTGACAGAGAGTGACAGCCAATAGCCACATCCGCTCGGCACTTATTGGAACGGCATGCATCGTGATACAATATGGCTGCGTTTGCAACCACGTATGAAAACTTCTTTTCAAAGCGATTCTCTGGTGTCTGAGACAGTCAGCATATGTTCACAAACGCTCTGATTTGCCTGACATGTTGCTGTCGGCAAACGGCAGTAAATGGATTCTAATATTTTGCTTTCGTTTCAGCAAAACTGGTGCTGGTAATGGTCTGTAAACTTTAAAACTGCTAATTTTTCTGCACTGTGAGCACATTGGCACTGCAAGAGGTTCCGTTTGGTAGTTGTACAGTAAGCCCTCTCCTATCACGGGTTTTCTATCTGCGAAATTCGAGTACCTTTGGTTTACGATTTTCTCCAGCTGAGGCATAGCTTTTGAGTATCTACTATTTTACTACCGTAGAAGTTATAGACATTTTTCTTTAGATTCGTCTTAGGCATGTTATAACTTTCAAACCATCACATGAATTTCCTGTGCGCATCTATGCTTGTTTCGTATGTTCATCAAACTGCTTTGTTCACTGACCAATCTCGCATGTTTGCCAGAGCCTGTCTGAGTTAATCATGAATTTGCTGATTCCCAAAAGGCAAAACATTAACGCACGCATTGTTCATTCTTGCTACCTGGCTGCGTGCTCTTATACAATGCTTGTTTATTCATCATGGCTTACAATTGCGGGCGATACCGAAAAGAAAATGCGGACTCCGGCGGAACGCCGCAACACCGCTCTGTGAGGCCCTTACGAGCGAATCGTCTAATCCGCTCCGTGAAGGTTTAACGAGTGAATCGTCTACTTCGCTCCGTGAAGGTTTAACGAGTGAATTGTCTATTCCGCTCTGTGAGGCCTTAACGAGCGAATCGTCTATTCCGCTCTGTGAGGCCTTAACTAGCGAATCGTCTATTCCGCTCTGTGAAGCCTTAACGAGTGAATCGTCTATTCCGCTCCGTGAAGGTTTAACGAGTGAATTGTCTATTGTAATTTAATTCGGCAACTCCGAGTTGGCGAAAATAGAACGTGTTTTAATCTCCCAACTAGTTGCTATCGATCAGTTGGTCGCACAACTTTTGCGTTTACACTGCCGATTATCGGTTGTATAGTTGGGAAGTTGGTCCAATTCGCCAATTCGCCAATTCGCCAATTTGCCAACACAAAGTCGGTAGTGTAAACCTAGCTTTACTTTCTCTGTAGGCATATCTGCGAATTCGGAAATTGTTTACGGTTGTTTGCGCGTGCGCACGAATGCAGCGTACTCAATTGGTTTTACTGTTTACTTTTAATAATTTTTAAGTTAAATGAATAACATTTAAATGAATAACAGTTAAACGACTTAAGTTAAATGAGTTAAATGAGTTGAGTGAGATGATGGAATCGATCGCTGACCTGACTGCCTTGTGTTTTTTTGCCCCGCAGTCGTACGACCAGCCGGTGAAGGACTTGCATGCGGCTCGTGCTGACAAACTGGCCGACGCGACGTCGTCCATCAAGCTGAAACACGGAGAGACGAAAACTTTCCCGTCCGGAGCATCGGTAAGGAATCCGGACCTTCTCCTCACCGCGCGTACGCCAACAGATAACGCATATGAGAGGAATCCTCGACGAATGGCGTCCGCTCTCTGAAGCATTAACGAGCGAATCGTTAGCGTCCCCTCTCTGAAGCGTTAGTTCGTTAACAAGCGAATCGTTAGCGTCCCCTCTCTGAAGAGTTAGTTTGTTAACAAGACACAGTGGTAAGTTTCAAAGCATGGAGTGATGCACACTATAACGTCCTACGCACTCAGACGAACCATTATACAAGTCGTAATATAACGCCCTACTCATGCTACGATCCTGGGGTGATTCCCCA